CATCCTCACCATCATCAGCATCATCATCATATTCATCAGCATCATCAGCATCATGATCGTCATCAGCATCATCGTCAGAATCATGGTCATCCTCATCCTCCTCATCATCCTCCTCCTCCTCCTCCTCCTCCTCATCATCATCATCATCCTCATCGCGATCCTCGTCGTCACCGTCGTCACTATCATCATCATGGTCAGCATCATCGACATCACCATTGCCGTAATCGACATCGTAGTCGTCATCGTCAGCATCATCAGTACGACCATCTTCCACCTCGTCAGCAAAATGATCAGCATCAAGACAATCATCATAGCCGTCATCATCGACATGAGCGTCGTTATCGTCATCGCCTTAATTGTCGCCATGAGCGGCACCGTCGTCATACTCATTGATCATGTCGTCAACGTCATCGGCATGTTCGTCGTCAGTATCGTCATCATCACCGTCGACCACATCATTAGCATCATCAACGTCATTAACATCATCATCACCACCACCACCACCCTCATCAGCATAATCATCCTCATCATCCTCATCATCATCATCATCATCATCATCATCATCATCATCATCATCATCATCATCATCATCCTCGGCATCATCATCATCATCATCATCATCATCAGCATCAGCATCAGCATCGTCATTATCATCAACGTCATCATCGTCCACATCCTCATCATCATCATCATCGTCGTCGTCATCGGCATTGTCATCGTCATCGTGATTGTCATCGTCGTCATCCCTAGCCACACCAACAGAATTATCGTCGTCTTTCTCCTCCTCCTCATCCTCAGCATCATCATCATCGTCGTCGGCATCACTGTCATCAGCATCATAGTCGTCGTCAGTGTCGTCGTCCTCTTCTTTCTCATCGCCATCATAATCATCATCATAATCGCGGTCTTCGTCAGAATCGTCGCCATCCATCGTCATCGTCGTCTTCATCACCAGCATCAACATCATCATCACCATCATCATCATCATCATCACCACCATCAGCATCATCAAGCTCAGCATCATCATCATCAGCATCAGCATCATCATCGTCATCCTCATCATCAGCATCATAATCGCTGTCGTCGTTGTCAGCATCGCTCTCATCAGCATCGCCATCACCAGCATAAGCACCATCATCACCACCGACGTCGCCGTCGTCATCGTCGTCCTCATCTGCATCATCAGTTTCATCATCATCAGCAGCATCCTCATCGTCGTCGTCATCCTCCTCCTCATCCTCCTCCCGTGCTCCTCCTCCCCATCCTCCTCATCATTGTAAACAACGTCGTCGCCCCCTTCATCGCCATCATTATCACCGACATAACCATCGCCGTCTTTGTAGTCCTCATCGACAACCTTCGCACAATTGCTGTCGTCGGTCTCGCTATCGCCGCCATAACCTTCACCATCAGGATATGCATAGTCGTCGTCGTCGCCATCGTCGTCATCATTGTCATCATCATCATCGCCATCAGCATCATCATCCTCGTCTTCGTCCGCATCATTATCCTCATATCCATCCTCATCATCACCGCCACCAACGTCATGCTCATCGTCATAATCTTGATTGTCATATGCTTCGTCATCGTCATCATCGTCTCCACCCCCCACCAATACCACCACCACCCCTCCTTCCCCACACCCCGCCTCCCCCCTGGCGCCCCCCTCCCCGGCCGCCTCAACGCCGAGGCCCCGCAGCCGCGGCAAGAAGTGCAGCAACTTCAGCCGTTCCAGCGCCGCCTTGCTAGCGGCGGCAGTCCCCAAGCAGCGCCACGAGGAGTACAAGAGTACAAAAGACAAGAGTCCAGGTGAACCAGGAGGACACACCATCAAGAAAGGAAAACAACCCCGATTAGACATCAGCGCCACCGCGGCAGGCACCAGCTCGGAAAAGATTAACAGCCCCAGCCGCTCCCCAGTTTTGGGGTGGAGCCCACGCTGGGCCGCCTCAAATACAGCCTGAACTCGTGGATCCCGTCCGCCTACCACCCCGCTTCGAGGGCAGACCATACAGAGGCCGTCGGACGCAGCGTCACGGAGAAAGGGAGAGGGAAAGACAGGAGAGAAAGATAGAGAGGGAAGAGAGACGGAGAGAGACGGAAAGAGAGGAGAGAAAGAGAGAGAGAGAAAGAGAGAGAGAGAGTGGGAGACAAGGAGACAGAATGGCGAGACGGGGGAGGGGTCATGACAAGCCAGGCGCGTTCGCGCCATATCTGACATCGGATCCTTCCCACACAACCCTTTTTCCCGTTAGTTGTTTATCTGGCCGCTGGCGCGTGCCATAGCAGACCTGAAACGGCAAGGAGGACTCAATTGTATCGCTGCGACTCGGCGGCGCATGAAATATCAATGCCGTCCACGTCAGATAAGGATGCTGGCGGCGAGGTCCGATCAGGTACATTATTCCGCACGTTATTGGCGCACGCATTCCAACCGATGTCCTTGCGCGTCAGCCCGCGCCTGCGGCAGGCCGTTTTGATCAAAACGGCCTGCCGAAGGGCACGGGTCTTCCACAACGAAACTTTTCCGATGCGCGGCGACACTCGAACCCTGGATGCGAACGCAGGGCAATGCGCGTCCCACGTCCAAGGCAGACACGGTCTTCCCGATGTTGCAAGGCTACTTGCAATTGGCTGCACAGCGCCCTCGCGGACGCCCTATCCGCTTCGCGAGGATGAGTGTTGTAAAGGTGTAAAACAAATCATGGATTTGACGGAACGACCCGGCACTTGGAGACAAGTCTGCAGTGCCCTGTGGTCCGAACCCAGATCTGACATGTTTGTCGGCATCGAGCTATGGCGCAGACTTCGGCTGTCCACCAAGATGTAATCAAGACGGCGACTTTTCCCAGGGCAGCTTCTAAAAGCCACTGGCGATCTAAATGTTATCGTCGGCGTTGCAGATATTGAGATTCATCTCAGCAGCGACAGCCAACAGCAATGCGCTTTTCCGGCCCCTCCCCATTTCTGCATTGAAACCACATCCTAAAATGCACTTGCAGTTTCGGCCCTACGCTTTAAGAACAACCAAGCGAAGATCCCCCCGACATTTCGTGAAGTCGTCGCGCGGGTAGCCGGCGCGAGGCAGGCAGGGATAAATACATCCAGAAACACATGATCCCACTTGTATGTCACAGTGTAGAACCCTGCCCGAAACAGCCTTGTAGTCGATGACTTTGTCGACCCAACGGGAATGAAGGAGCAGAGATACACCTGAAAATCTTTGCGCGCCCAGGCTGCTTAGCAGACTGTGCCCACCGTGCAATAGAATGCCCCCATCCGCAGCCCTAGTTTCACTAAAGCAAATGCGATCCCAAATGAATTCGCTTGACTCTGCAAGTAAATATGTAAGCCTGTTCTCGCCCTTCAAGCGAGCATTCTCTCAAATAATCCCGAAAGTTCATAGTCATTTGCACCAGGGAGATTGTTCGACCGGGCTGTCTCCTAGTGCGATTACTTCCCCTTGCCAACGCCTTTCGTTGGAAGGCTCCCCCTGCTCAACTTCGTCTCGGATTCCTGGCGGATATGATCCAGATCTTCGCAAGCAATTGCCTTCTTCCACCTCGCTTGTAAAAGAAATCAGCGTTTCGTTGCCATTCACATCCGACGCAAGGACGAGGCCACCTCCGAAATCCTCGTCGACCGTGGTTGAGTATCTAGAAATGAAAACCTAGGTTCATTATCTTCAGATGATACCCTATGGAATATTGTCCTGTGAATGGATCGGGCTCAGCCTCCCTCCCGGCCGAATCATTATCTTTTTCGGAAAATCAATCTAAGTTTAATATTCCAATATTATGGACCAGGGTTTTTTCTGTCCAGAACGTACTCTCAAACGGCGCCCCCCAGGCTCAATCATTATCATTCCAGAATAACTAACCCCGGGTCAATAGTCCAGGAATCTTACGACTCCGGGTTTATTATCTCCTGGAGATAATGAGAACCGGGGTCAATATTCCGCCATGAAAACCTGGGGGAAAATAATAATTATTATCATTCCGGAAGTACGAAAACCGGTTTCACTATTCCCGGAACACTGCAAACCCCAGCCAATATTCCAGGAACATTATAAAACCAGGTTAATATGTTTTGGGGGTCGATATCCCCAGAACATTTTTAAAAAAAACAGGGTATATAATTCCCGGGGGGGAACACTGTGAACCCCAATCAATATTCCCAGAACATCGAAACGCAGGTTCAGGGGGAGACATTATGAACCCGGGTCAATAATCCTGAAACATGGTAAACCCCGGTTAAGATCTATTTGGGATCCATCCTGGCAAGGACCGCGTCGAAGCCAACATTCACCGACATGGCCTCCAGGTCTACCCAAACAGACTTACGATCATAGCCCCAATCAGTCATCATGCGCTTGACGCTGAAAAGGAATGACTGGTTCACCCGCGCGTTCAAAGGGAGGTCCGGCTTCGCCCAACCTCTGTTGGTGCCGTGCTGGAGGCTTGCGTCCATGATGGTGCTCACTGCTGTCCCGGTCGTCCTTGGAAGCAGACCTCAAAAACACAATGCCCGGGACGTCGTCCTTAACGTAATGATCCATGGGGTATGGTGCCCATTTAGACCACAAGGCGTCCCCGATCCACTTGAGGGCGTCATCGATGTTGCCCAGGGCCGTCAAGCCGCCAACGACGGCGGTCCACGAGCGAAGGGCGTCCCCTGCTGGAGCGGCTGCTTCTGTGGGCGGTGACCGTTTGAGTTGTGTTAACCCTTCTTCCAACGACCTGATGTGTTCCCAAACATCTTCTGCCCGGAACCCCACACCAGAATTTCCTGTAGTAATGCACCATGCATTTTCCACTCTCGCTTCGAGTGAGTTTCTTAAGTCAGCCAGTCCACGGCCCAACCCCGAAATCGATGTTTGCAAGGCCTGGATTTGTTGTTTCACAATGTCCGCAATCTGCAAAAGTATTTGTTTGAGTGTGTTTGACGAGCACCCTCCTGAAAATGCTCTCGCTGGGTTGGTTGAGGCTGCTGGCGTAGATATCTGAATATGTGGAGGTTCCGGCAGCGCGACCACGCCGTCGAGGATGCCTGCCGAATCGTCCATCTCTGGCAGCGGATTGAACAGCCGTTGACGTACATTGGGACTCGAGTATGGGACGCCATGCGATTACCTCTCGATCTGCAAGAAAGGACAAAAGAACAATCAAATGACAGAGTGAAATGGGGCGGAGCTTCAGTAAGAGGAATGCTTTAGTAAGAGGCATGCTTCAGTAGGAGGCCGATGACTCGCTCAGATTACTTATATGAGCTGCGGGCCCCGTAAGGAGGGGGCTCCCGCCTGAGACTTCCTCGCAAGTCACTCACGGACGAAGCTCCCGCCTGATACTTCCTCAATATTCAAGCTTCAGGGACCCAAAAATGACGACAGTTACAGGAGGCCGATGAACCGCTCGGATTACTCATATGAGCTGCGGGCCCCATAGGGGGAGGGCTCCCGCCTGAGACTTCCTCGCAATTCACTCGCAGACGAGGTTCCCGTGTGATACTTCCTCCATAGTCAAGCCTCAGGGGCCCAAAAAAGGCGAATGCAAGAGGCCGATGACCCGCTCGGATTACTCATATGAGCTGTGGGTCCCATAGGGAAGGGGCTCCCGCCTGAGACCTCCTCGCAATTTACTCACAGACGAGGCTCCCACCTCATACGTCCTCAAAATTACTCAAATGAGCTGCGGGCCCCACAGAAATGGGTCTCCCGCCTGGGACATCCTCGCAATTCACTCACAAACGAAGCTCCCGCCGGATACCTCCTTCATAATCCGGCCTCAGGGGCCCAAAAATGACGACCGTTGCAGGAGGCCGATGACCCGCTCGGAGAATTCATATGAACTGCGGGCCCCATAGGGAAAAAACTCCCGCCTGAGATGTCCTCGCAAGTCGCTCACAAACGAGGCTCCAATTGCAGAAGGCCGATGACCCGCTCGGATTACTCAGCGGGCCCCATAGGGAAGGGGGCTCCCGCCTGAGACTTCCTCGCAATTCACTCACAGACGAGGCTCCCGCTTGGGTGGGTAGGTGGGTGAGTGGGTGGGCGAGTGAGTGAGTGAGTGATGATAATGAGTGTGTGAATGAGTGAATGTGCGAGTGATCACGGCGATGGTGATGATAGCGTGCGTGAATAAGTGAGTGGGTGAGTGTGAATGATGATGGTGCGTGTGAGTGATTGAGTCAGTGCGCGAAGGGGGAAAAGAGAGAGAGAGAGAGGCGAGAGGAGGAGGAGAGATCCTGTGCAAGGGGTGTGGAGAGAAAACAAGAACCCCACTTCGAATGTGAGCTAGTGAACTCCATGTTGTCGTGGCCCGAAGTGCATTCATTCATATTATCTGAACGGCCGCATTCCAAAATTATGATATGGTTACGCGCAAGGTTCTCACATTCACGGCCTTCCGGCAAGGCTGATTCGAGGGCCCCATCTGAATCCTATACGCCAGTGAGATCGCCAGGAATGAAACTGTGGGACGTTCCGCTGTTTTCTGTGCTGGGCTGGCCATGACGAAACGATCCTGGGATCACCAAACTTGGCGCTCTGGGACGTTACGGTATGTTTGGTCATAACCTGGCTACGACGAAACGATGATGTACGAATACTCCACGTTATGATCCGCGTCGTTTTGATGAGGACGTCCTGTCCCAGAGCTCCAAAAAGTCACTGTCAACGTTGGACAGTTGAAACCTTATCGCACTTCGTTCTTTTCATCACCGCTTCATCATAGCCAGGCGAAAACAGAAAAGAAACGTAAGGTCCCAGAAAACCATTCTTGGCGATCCCAAGATCGACTCGTCATAGCCGGGCGAAAATAGAAAACAGCGGAACGTCCCAGAACGCCGTCCTTGGTGATATCATCGGCGATTCGCTTGAGCGAAGCGAGATCCGAACATATAGTAACGTCGCCGCCATTGCAGCCCATCGGCAATACTGCCTGATCGGAGAAATGCCAGGACGGCTGATTATCGCGAGCCCGACATCGTGTATAGAACTCGGAAGTGGCCCTCGAATCAGCCTTGCCGGAAGCCGTGGATGGAAACCATTAACGCGAAACTGATTGGCAACGTTGGAATTCCGCCATTCAAAACCTGTTTTCCAAGATGGGCACGATCGGCGGCCGCCGCCACAAATTTTAGAAATAAACGAGAACCCCATGTGCAGGTTCTTGAGCCCGATGTTGTCGTGGCCTGGACTGCAGTCATTTTCTCTGAACGGCGAAATTCCAACGTTATGATTTGGTTCCGCGTGAATTTATTTACTTCCACGGTAGGACAAAGAAACGGGTATGTTTGCAGGGCTTGGCGAACCAAGATGTCTCGGCCCAACGTTTCCGAAGATGCCTGCGCACCGTGCGCTTGGAGCACACACTTCTTAACGTCTGCGGCTAGGCAGAGTCACTGCGCTGGCGATGGAGCGTTAGTGGGATGCACAGAACGCGAATCGGCCCGCCATGCACGGGGGAAACGAACACACACACACACACACACACACACACT